CAGCATCAGCAGCACCAGCACCAGCACCGGCACCACCAGCACCAGCACCAGCACCACCGCCGCTGCCGCCGCCACCAGCAGCAGCAGCAGCAGCAGCAGCAGCAGCAGCAGCAGCACCACCAGCACCACCAGCACCACCAGCACCACCAGCACCACCACCACCACCACCACCACCACCACCACCACCACCACCACACTACTCCTCCTGCTGCTGCTACTGCTACTATGGCCACCAAACCATAATGTTCCATGCAAGGTGCTCATGTTGTGCGTCTCAAGCGCATGGCATCTGCGCACGCGTCCGCTGCTAGCATCGGGTTTTTCAGGTCGACAGCGACCAACAGAGAGCTCCTCGCTCAAAACGAATCTCTGACACATGACTTCAGGTTTAGGGCTGCATTGGGCGAGTTGGGTTTGGAGTTCAGGCCTTCTGCTGGATGTTTGTACCTAGGGTTATTTTGTTGCCAGCCTATGAGGATATGCTGGCTTCGGGCTTGCAACAGCAGAGGGACACTTCTCATCAGGTCTCGATGATACGGACGCAATTTCTGGGCTTTTCGCACCCACAGACCCTGCCTCGCGACAATGTCCTTGAAAACTTTGGTGGACTCTTAAAGATTCTTGGGTTCAATGGGAAACGAGTGCCGTGAGGTAGACCCTCAGCACACACATCTTTCATGTTCCTCCTGTAAGCTTGCATTCCAAATCTAACAACCCGAACACTAACCCTAAACTACTTACACTCCTTAAACCCTGAACGCAGGGGGCCTCATCGAGCCCTGGGGAGATGAAAAGCCCAAACGTCGGGATGTCTTCGTACACGTAGTTGGAGAAGCTGGAGACATCCGGTGGATGGCTTGGATTCACAGCCTCTTTGCCAACCCAAGGGACGGGGGAGCGCTGTGCAAGGGATCACCTACTCGTGTACTTTCCCGATTGAGGTGATACTTCCCCCAGGACAAGTGGCCCCAACATTTGACAATCCTACGCTCTTGACTCTTTACCCTCAACCTTGTTCGAAAAGCACATGTGGAATTCCAATCAAACCTGCAAGCCTTATCAAGGACCGGTTTCAGGGTCGCGTTGTCTGATATGCCCCAGTAGTTGCGATTGCCAGAGGCTCGCAAGCACCCTCTGGAAATCATGGGCCTCACAGGGCAGGGAGTTTAGGGTGTGCATAGTGGCGGGATTTGGGCTGATTTCCGGGAAAAGAAAGCCTCCAGAAGGAGTCAATCGCCGACCGTCCGGTCCCCAGGTCGCACTGTCTTGACCACCCCCCGCTCCCGTGGCGCAATCGGAAGAGGGCCCCATGCTCAGCCTGGACCATCAGCATGAAGAGCTTCGCATCCTAGAGGGGGAACGGGGCGCGGGTGGGGGGGCTTCACTGGTCTGAGGCTAGAGAGGCTCTTGTCAGAACCGAGTGAAGGATGTTTGATCGTGTTGACAAGCTTGTCATTCGTTGTTTATTCCCTTTCGGTTTGCGTCATTTGGGGAAAGAGTGTTGACAGGAACGCATATGACAAAGCCCATGGATCCTCGTCCCAGTCTGAATTGGCCACCAAGCCTGCAGGGATCGAACAAGTCCATGCACGTCATACAGACACCATGCAAAAAATGTGGAACTAGATCGCAGAGCAGAGGATACCCCTACCAACCTCAAGAATCGTCAAGGATAAAATACCTTTTGGGGATCAGACGGGGCTCGGTATTTTACAAATCTTGAAAGATGCAAAAAATATTTACTTCGAGCATCCCCACCCTAAAGCCGTCATTTCACTGCACAAGAAGTGTATATAACGTTTCCCTCCCCCCTGTCAACT